GATTTTGTTTAGGACACGCATTCGATGAGTGGCATATGCACTGCTAGGTGGAAGTCTGCTCATTCTCTTCATTTCTTCATGAACTGCTTCCGTTTTCTCTTCAGACCCCATCTGCTTCAGTGAATTTTTAGAAGATTGGGTGCTAGGGAGGCCACCTTCAGGGTGATTTAGGGCAATGTTTTGATTAACTTGATAGAAATGATCCATTGAACCACCTATAGATAAAAAGACAGATTAATGCAAGGATAAATCAGAACCTCAAAAGAGAATATTGAAGAAGGCAAAGTTTCACCCCTCTATGCTACTTAAGTTGCCTATATATGTACAGAACAGAGACAGTAAATGCACTTTAGCAAACCATGCTACTGAGGTTTTGAAATTACACATCAACTAGCTATAATTTTAAGAAAACAACTACTACACATCAGTTCTAAACGAGTTGAGATCGGCATATAGGACGTAAAGTAAAGTGCTAACATGACTAAAACATATTCTTAACGAATAGGTATCATCTATATAGATCTTTTCTTCGTGCACTACATTTTGCTAAATCAGCACGGATTCCAAGAGATTGTAGGTCATTCAAGACAACTTACTTCCAAGTGATTTCAGGTCTATCTCGGTCCTTTTTATCACCTTCACACTCACCATGATTTCCATCTACGGACCAGTCCATTTAACAGTCGATGCAAAACATGATCAAACCATCTTATGCGACATTTTCTTATTTTATCCTTGATGTGTGCTACTTAAACCTTCTCGCAAATATGGTCATTTCTACTCTTGGTTAGTCTCTCATCTCTGTGACACTCATATTGTGGATGTGCTGGACTTAAACTGCCCAAGATTCACTCTCATATAATATTGTTAGTCAAAATACTATTTGACAGAACTTATCTTCCCTTTTTCTGACATGCATCATTTTATCACATAACACTCTGGTAGAACTTCTCCATTTCAACCATTCGATTTTGATCTATGTAAAACATATTCATCTATCATTTTATTCACTTAAAACAACGAGCCTAAATATCTAAATGTTTGTATTTACTATTTAGGAACTACAATCCCGTCTAATCTAACCTCGACTTTGCTATTCTTATGTTGACTAAACTTGTGGTGCATATATTTAATCTACTTCTGCTTATCATAAACCCTTTACTCTCTATAATGCTTCTCCATAATTCAAGCTTTTGGTTGACACTTTTACTGGTATTGTCAATAAGCACTATATGTCAGCAAATAGCATACACAATGGCACCTCATCTCGTACTGTGTTGGGTTGGTAAACAAGTATGGCCTCAATGGCGACCCCTAGTGTCTAGTGTAAATCCACGGTTATGTGAAACTCCTTTATATCTCCTACTATTATGCTCACACTAGTCCTTTATGGCATTTATAAATTTAATATAAGTTCCTTTCTTCTCCAACACCCACCAAAGGACCTTTCTAGGTACTCTATCATATGTTTTCTCTAGGTCAATGATTATTATAAGCTCCTTTCTTCCTCTCATGATAAACTTCCATCAATCTCCTTAGCAAAAATATAACCTCTGTTGTGGACAACCAAGCATAAATCCGAACTGGTTCTCTATCACTCTTGTAGTGTCCCTAAGTATACGTTCTATCACTCTTCAGAAACTTGAAAGCTAAAAACCTTTTCTCTTTATTCTTCTATTATATACAACATAAGAAATAAAAGCTAGAGAAAGGTAGGTAGTACAAATGCATGACTAAAAGGTAATAATTAAATACACAAACATAGTCAGAGGTACCATTAAAATTGAATATAACCTTCAATACAATTGCATTAATCTTCTTAACCTTTAAGTGGTCATGCATTCGAAAGTCTTTTTTTATCTCGTTTTTCGCCAAAATTTCCTAAATCAATTGATTAATTTGTTAAACTCAATCTCCTAAGTGATAAATAGATAATTTGCGTTTTGCTAAATTGTGGTTACGTAGAGAACTATGATATACAACTACAACACATGTCTGATAGGTATGCAACCATCCATAATTCAACTTTACCCCTTCAATACAAAAGCAAATAATAAATTACATTCATTCAAAATTCGAAATATTAGCAAAGGAAAAACCGCTAATCAATATGTATCAGATACATGAAATCAAAGCCTCAACTAGTAGTAAAAAAAAACTAGAAAAGATAAAAGAAAATAGAAATTCAGAAAAATAAATTAAATACCTGTACGAAAATAATCTGCAGCAATCCACGAGAAAACAATGGATACAGAGACCTCTTCGGCAGAATTTCTTGTGGACACAAAAAGAGTACGAAACTCACTATCGTCTCTAACTGCCGATCGCAAAACCTACGTTTCCAGATTACTTAGAAGGGACGGTATCTTGAATCCACGGTATCTTGAATCTACAATTGATAATACCTCTGCTTATAAAGCAGATATTCCCTGGAGATTTGGACTTGCAAGAAAACGCTCAAAATTTTAAAGAGAATGTCACAGTGACCCCTTTAGAATTGTTATTATCTCATACATACCCCTTATTTTGTGAGCAAAATATATTGGATTGATCAATTCCACGAGAGTGTGACAAAAATGGTCCCTTATGCTTGGGGTAGGTTAAAATTAGTCCCTTAAACCTACCTTTGAGAAGTTTTGGTCCTTAGCTTTTCCTAAAAGTGAGCATTGTTTTTTTTTTTTTTTGCTTATCTAATAGTAGTATACTTTAGTTGTTAAATTTAACGGGAACAATAAAAAAATTAATAGCAACTCACATCTAGAGGCGCACTTTTTGTCTAATTTTAGTGCACGATGAAGTTTCTTGAGGTGCAATTTCAACTATTTTTGGTGTTGAAATATTTAGAATTTGACGGAATCTTTTTGGTGTTTTTTATTTTTTTTTCATAACTATCGCTAAATCTTATAGATAAAGTTTGTTAATGTATTCCATAGAGACCAAAAAAACAAAAACTCCATATTTAAAAGATTACTTATTCGTAACCATAAGGGAGAACTTTATTATTTTCTCATCAATTCTACCTTATTTTTAGTGATAAATTATACTTATCCGTTTCAATTTATGTGATCATATTTTCCTTTTAGTCCGTGCCAAAAAAAATGACTCATTTCCATATTTGGAAATAATTTTCTTTATGCAATAATTTATAGTCACACAAAATATATGTGCCTCACTTTGTACCACAAGTTCAAAAATCTTCTCTTTTTTCTTAAGCTCCCTACTCAGTCAAATAGGTTCATATAAATTGAAATGGAGGGAGTACTCTTTTTGTTTTTCCATACGAATTCAACAATGGAGAGAAAACTCAATGTGACACTAATAGCCATTAACTCATCAATTAATTATGCATATAAAGAAAACAAATAAATTTTAGTCATAGAGTAAAATTGAGATTAAACAGATAAGTTAAGCAGTAATATACCCTTATTTGTATAATAAAGTAATAGGAGTATAAAATATAAAGCATCAGTAAATAAGCACGAATATATGATAATTGAGTTAACAAAAAAAACATATAGTGTAGTATTACTTATTTGTTAAAATTTGTTTATATTAAATCATGAAGGGGAAGTATTAAACAGGAAAGACCTATTAATAATCAAACCTAACAAGAAGGTTCAAAATGAAAATTATTGTTATCAACTTGTCGCAATTATTTTGCTTACTAAGAGAGAGGGAGGGGTCAATAGAAAATAGAGTTTAATGAGGGACAAAATTCTGAACAAACTAACAAATCTGAAGGAGATAAATTGACGGTACTCTTGATCTTGATATGATTTACATTATATGCACGGGGCAAGGTCCTTGAGGAACAAATATATTAAATAAAGAGGTCACTTGACTGTGTAGCATAGTTTTTTTTCTCTACGCAATATTTGCTCCAAATTGGCCTATTGTGTTTGTGTGAATCAGTGCACTCCTAAAATGTTATTTGCAAGAGAAAAACAAAAAAGAAACATAGCATCTAATAGTGATGCTGCTTGGTCATATTTGGAGGTTTTATAACACGGTAATTAACTGATTTAAATTATTCTCCATAAAGAATTTTTACACAATGATGATGCCATGTTATTTAACTCATAAATAAGCTGATAGTGTGAAAAACGATTCGTCCATCAATGTATAACAATTAAAGTAAAAATAATTTCATCTACAACATATTTGCATTTCTGAAGATACAGTTACACAAAACACTAGAATTGAGACATACTAAGACATAATCATCTTAAGCTCCAGGAACAAATTTTGTGGCATAAACCCAAGCATTGTTAGCAACAGGGTTATCAAGGTGGTCCAACAAGTTCTCAAGAGGTCCTTTGCCAGTGACAATAGCTTGAACAAAGAATCCGAACATAGAGAACATTGCCAACCTTCCATTCTTGATCTCCTTCACCTTGAGCTCGGCAAAAGTTGTCGGGTCATCGGCTAGGCCAAGTGGGTCAAAATATTGACCACCAGGGTATAAATTGTTGCCTTCTCCAACTCCAGGAAGTCCATTAATTCTAAAACCTTCAACAAGTCCCATGAGTACAACTTGGAAACCTAGCACAGCTAGAATACTCTGAGCATGCACAAGGTTAGGGTTGCCTAAGTAGTCAAGTCCTCCTTCGCTGAAGATTTGAGCTCCTGCTTTGAACCATACTGGTTCTTTGAAGTCTACTTTCACCCATTTTTCAAGAACTTCTGGGGTGATGCAACCTAGTGCACCAAGCATTGCCCATCTCCCATGGATAACCTGGATTGTGCAATATTAATCAGCAAAAAGCCATAAATAAATTATAATGTAAATAAAAGCATATCTAGGCGTATTCTATTAGTTCAACTAAAGTCATTGCTTTTGGCCAAAAAAATGTTTATATGTGTGTGTGATAAGATTGCACTTACTTTGACACCACTAACTAGAAAATATGAATTTGCCTCTAATTGAAAAGGAAATAAGACTAGTAATGTACCTCAAGAGCTCTGTTCTTGGCAAAAGCTTCAGGATCAGCAGATAAACCAGCAGTGTCCCATCCATAATCACCAGGGAATTCTCCGGTCAAGTATGAAGGAGTTTGAGCAGAAAAGGGTCCTAAGTACTTGACACGATCTGGTCCATACCATAAATCATTTCCCTAACCATATCAAACGAAAAAGAGCAAGACAACATTCCGTCAGAATATACAAACAGAATTCAGGAGGGGAAGGGCTATATAGTGTGTATTTTATTAATTAGTTTGCTCCGTTTAAATAGCTCTGAGTATGCTATAAAGTTAGAGCAAAATCTAGGTGCTTTTGTGCTGCTTCTTTTTGGATGTGGATTCCCTTGTATTATTATACCTAGGTATATTGTGTAAGCCAGGGATAAATCTAATGTATCATCTAGTAATTGACTCTAATAATTCTAACTGTACCTATTATACTTAATACGTACAGTTTGGCTCTAGTTTTAAGTGATCAATATGAACAAGAGCTAGTATGAGTGTTTAAGCGAAAAAAATAGACAAGTTTAAGAGGCTGCTTATGTATTTGGCCTATGTCTTTCATGGCTATAGAGGACAAAGCATGTTTCTTTTCTCCTTACTTTGTACTCTTTTTATCAATTTAAGATTTTAACTAGGTGGTTTCTGTAAAAATAAAAAGAATTTTTAAGTTATATATGCTCGCAATATAAAACTTTTGATATCATTAGTAAACTTAACTAGTGATAACATGTTACTACTATTTTATCACGTATTAATATTGTGTATATCATTAGTGCATAAAAAGTTAAACTCAGATAAAATCTTAAAACAGGGAAGAGAAGGGGGCAATGGGGATGGATGAGAATATATACCATGGTAAATTTGGCAGAGCCCATGGGAACAACATCTCTAAGAGGGTTAGCATTCTTGGTTTGACCCAAAAATGGGGTTGCTCTAACAACTGTGGTGGAGCTTGCTGTTGCTGCCATTGATGCCATTTTCTCTTAATCTAGTCTTGAAATTCACAGTTGATTAATTAAAATATACTGCTGGAGAAATTTGGATGATTTGAAAGAGGAAACTGGTTCTTATTTATATAGAGAGTGAGAATCCTACGTAGGTGGCTAGAATTGCACAGATGGAAATTGTGGTTGGAGATGCTTTAAGTTTTGCTGATTAACCAATCAGAAGGCTTGAGAAGATTTGAAGTATATCTCCAAGTCATATCATCCTATCCTGATTTTTATCTTTTTCTGGGCAAATAACCAATGACTGAGGCTTAAAATGGAGCACAATTTGGGGTAGGCAAATATATAGAAAGGGAATTGGTTCTTGAAATTTTGAAGGAAACAAAATATTTTTGTAAAAAAAAAAAAAAAAAAAAAAAAAAAAAAAAAAAAAAAAAAAAAGAAAAATCTCCCACTATCTGAAATGTTTAATTCGACTCTCAAGTTTCAAAATTTTTATTGAGAAATGAAGAAGAAAACGTTGACTAATATTTTTCTGTATGTCCTTTTTATGCATTTTAATGTGAGGGAAAATATAACCTCATTCTTTTCATATAATTTCAGAATATGAAACTTTTATTTTAAAACTGAAATAAATCTAGTCAGATTTAATGCAGAGAATTAGCTAGCGTTTGGCCATAGATTCCCAAATTTGTTTTGAAAAATCTGATTTGGGTGAAGTTTGGTTTGAAGATGAAAATGTGTTTGGACATGATTTTTCAAAACATATTTCACTTTTTATTTGAAAAAACATGAAACATGACTTATACCCACAAGTTCTAAAAACTATCACAAATACCCAATAGTACCAAACAAACAAACTTGCTATCTTGTATATACAAAACCTTCATCAATACCATTCATTATCATTATCACAAACCATAGTTCTGAACATAAATAAGTTTAATGAGAGGCAAGTGAGCAAATATGGTTTAGTTGGTCGTAATAAATGTGGGCTCTTTTATAAACTATAAAAGTTTGGGGTAATATTTAAAAATTTTAAAAAATGACCGTGTAATATTTTGGCCCAAAATCATCAATTGAGGTGATGTGATAGTTTTGGGATTTGAGATTTGAAATTTAGGATTTTGTCAAAATGTGAGCAAAATCTATGGTCAAACATGTATTTGCCAAATAAATCCCAAATTTATTTTGGCAAAACTCATAACGGGTCCTTAATCCAGGGGACCTTTAATAACTGAAAAGTTGTCATCAATTTCTAATAGACGAACTAAACTAATAAGGTATTAATGTTAGTACAATACTTTTCTTTGCACCAGCAGACCGTGGAGGGAAAAAATCAGAAATAACAAGATTTATAATTGGTAATTGAAAAAGTTACAGTTTCAAAAATAATTGAAATTTAGTCATTATTTTCATGTAAAGATAAAATTTGAACAAAAACATCCTTAAAAATCCGAAAAAATTCAAGCATAATATACCGGAGTTCATTTTTTTTACATATGAGATTCCAGCATAATGTGTCGGAGTTTCATAAGTACTTGAGTTTCAACATAACATGCTCGAAGCTTCTACGCAGGAGCTTCATAATCCAGTATATTATGCTGAGACTTTCCGCGTACTGGAGTTGCAACATAATATGCTAGAAGTTTATACGCGGGAGCTTAATAATACAACATATTATGCTGGGACTTTCCGTACAACAACAACAACAACAATAACAACACAATATAATTCCACTATTGGGGTCTGTGGATGGTAGTGTGTACGCAGACCTTACCCCTACCCTGACTCAAACTCACAATCTCTTGGTTGGAAGTGGAGAGTGC